ATTAATTAAACCTTAAAACAAAAGAATTAGACTACGAGGGAGACTTAGGATGATTTACCAACGAACCCATCACAACACCTTGCTTTGACACCCATCTAAGCATAAACTTCCGATACCACTGTATGTACCCATCGTGGTAACCCATAGGTCTCGTCTCTAGCATCCCTTGGACCACCCAATTCCCTCTATTCTCCCAAATGTTGATGTAGAACTGATGCTTTAGAAGCCAATTCTTTGCCGCGTGTCGGAGGTCGATGGCATGGAGCTCCCTGAAACCTTGAGGCGGGATTTATGGAATTGGTTGCTCCAATCGATATTGCCTCAAGGATCGATCGGGTAGGTGCCACTCCACGATGTGCCAGCAGATCAATGGCACCTTGCACAACCACGTATCCTGATCCTGGGGGTGTCTCAGATGATGCAGCTCAACCACTTCACGTGGATATGGGTCCCATTTAACATATACTCATTGATAATTTGAAATTAGCGACCATTTACATTGAATTTTTTTTATTTTGTTAAAATATTAGAAAGCATGATTACCTGGTTCCACCAAGGCTTATCTAACTCAGAACGATAAAACAACAAAGAGTGCTCAGGTTGATGGTCGTTTGTATTTGCTCCTATCCACCTTGTAAGTAAAAGTACGGACATAAGAATTTTTTAAAGCATTGAATACATTTAAGCATGGAATAAATTTGCAATTAGGCTAAGTACGGAATAAATTTAATTTAAATCTAGCTAAGTATGGAATAAATTTGCAATTAGGCTAAGTACGAAATAAATGTAATTTAAATCTAGCTAAGCAGGGAATAAATTTTCAATTAGGCTAAGTACGAAATAAATGTAATTTAAATATAGCTAAGAATGGAATAAATATGCAATTAGGCTAAGTACGGAATAAATAATTTAAATCTAGCTAAGCATGGAATAAATTTGCAATTAGGCTAAGTACGGAATAAACTTACTTGACACCATAGGGGGGATTTTGCACAAATTGTAGCTCATCATCTGCTCTCCGGTATGGACGTGGGTTTTGAGGTGCGAACATTGGAAGATGCTCCCATACCCAGAGCTGGAGGATGAACATCGCTCCACCGGCTTGTCTCGCTCCCACCTTCGAGCAAGTACCCAGCTCCCTATATACGCAAGCTAACACGACCGATCCCCACTCTTTTCCCCGATTGCGTCCCAGTCACCAGTGAGCAATGACAACCATATGCCTTGAATCCACCTGTTTGACTTGTCGGGGAACAGAAATCCACCCACCAAACCAATGAGGTAGATGCGTGCATAGTGCTCCACTTGATCTTCCGGAGTCTCGTCATTGATTTCCACCTCATTTTGGATGTGAGTAACTAGCCATGAGATCGACACTTGTGGGCTTTAGGGTATAACTCTAGTAATTCTTTCTGATGTGGAAGATCGGACTTAGCCGCAACAACAAAACATACTTAGAACGAGACTAGAGTGGTGGATGGAGGGAGAAACAAGTGTACATGTGGTGGTGTGATTTGGAAGAGGGGGGAAGGTTCTATTTATAGGGGAAGGAAGTGGCGGAAAAAAACCACTGAGCCATCACCGCCTTTGACAAAGGCAGTGAATAAACCACCTTTATCGAAGACGGTGAAGGCGCAGATAGAATGGCGTGGGACGCTGTGAGGCGTCGGAACTGAGAAGAAAACCAAAATCCGCGCCTCACCGCATCCAACGGCAACGGTGAGCTATCCGCGACGCGGATCGTTGACGTGGACAAACACGGTGTATTCACCGTGTTAGACTAACACGGTGAATACACCGTGTTTGTCCACGTCAACGATCCGCATCGCTTTCATCGTGCCATTCAGATGCGAGGAATATTTCACCGCTTTTTACTAAAACGGTGAACACTTCACCGTTTTTGTGTAAAGCGGTGAATGATTCCCTCGTTATTCACCGTTTTACAAGGCCGCGGTGAATGAGTCATCGTTTTAAATAAAAGCGGTGAATTATTCACCGCCTTTCTCTAATGCGGTGATTACATTCACTGTCTTAGACAAAGACGATGAATGTGAAACATGTGTAGATTGAGAATTTCTTTTATAACTTATGTATTTTGGAATTTTTTTTTAATTACTAGTGTACTTTGGGATTTTTCCCCCTTTTGGCTTTGTCATTCAACTTTCAACCAAAAAGGCAGTGCGTGAAATATCCTTTTGGGGCAAGCAAAGAAGCAAATTAGTAATTTAGTATACATCATGACGTACCAATTAGCCACTACAACAGCTAAATTGATAATTGTATTTAACCAATCAACCTGAGGGGTGGGGTAAGAAAACCAGATAATCTGAGTCGGATTTTAATCTAAGCTATATAGAGATTAGGGAGAATCAACCGCAAAATTGAACAAAACCCAAAAAAAGGCATATGTGACATCCGAGCTTTGTGCTTTTTCGTGTTGAAGATCATGCTCAGAGTCGAGATCTCACACCTTGCAGCAGCCACTTCATGCTCAGAATCTAGCTTCCCCATGCCTGGCCAAGCCCATAGGCATCCATGTAGCCTGCGGCCTGTCCATGAAGGTGGTCGTGGTCACGGCCAGAGTGACCATGGCCGTGGTGATGATGGTGAGGATTCTGTTTTGCCTCATCCAGCTGCTTCTGGATGTGGTCTGGTATGGACTCCTCTTCAGCTTGTCTAAATGACTTTGGTAGAGATGATACAAATGTGGCTACTCGTTCGCCTATCTCCTCGGCTGTCTCTTCCTGAGACCAACAAAAGAACATTTGAGGAACTAAACTGAGTTTCATAATCCGAACATTTATCACGTAATAGAACCACAAGACTGTTTAGGGCAGAAGGAACTAAGTTAGTGAATCGAATCAAGCGAATGTATTTAAAATAAAATTTCAATGTCTATCAGAAAAGAACTAAGCTAAACATATATGCATACTGATAAACAAGAACGAGGAAGGTTTACAATGTGTAGTTCATCATATTAGGCAAACCGTATTAGGCTATCCTCATGAAGATTGGAGGGCAGGTAACTCATCAGTCATCGTGACATAAGGGATCATCTCTGCTTTAAGGCTGAGATCATGCATAGCAGTTTCAGACAAGACATTCAAGACTGTTCTTGTTCTCTACAAATCATTCAAGACTGTTTTGAAAGCTTAGTGTCCTGTTCCATGGTGCTCTTAACTTGCAAATGTAAAACAATAGCTTCTTAAAAATGTTTGGCACAACTATATCAGAATGCAGAAGAGAAGGCGGACGCCATATGTTAAGCCAGTAGGCAGTCGAAGAATCTCAGAAGAACATTAATTTCTACAATGTCCTTATAGAAATTCTGTATCGCTACAAACTTCCCAGAAAGTGAAAGGAAGTTCATAAAGATAAAGTAAGACACAAAGACACAATCTTCGATTGACTGTGAAAACCATATCAGAATGAATCCCCTAGCATCACCATTCCGCATACAGATCATTTAGTGGTCGTAAAACAAAGTACTAGATCATAACAAATCGCTTACCTGAGGCCATCGACCACCAGAATGCAGTATGAACTTCGCCTGAGGAAGAGCCTCAGACACTCGACGTCCCTCATCACTCCACTCTTTCGACCAACTCCTCGACCAAACCACCTGAACTGGAATCCTTCTCATCCCCTTTGAACTTCCCCACTCACCTATCTCAAAGCTATCATTCAGCAACTTCTCAGTACCCACAGCAGCTCTCCAACCATCTTTCCCACTCGAAAGCATCCTGTGTGCATCCAGATCCGCAGAACCAATCCCTTTTGAGCAGAATGTATTGATCAACTTTTGATACACAAAATTAGACCCCAACACAACTTCCCTGACCAAGGGAACTTCCAGGATCCTCAATGGCAGAGCTGAACTTGACCCGGTATCAACCAGAGTGACACTCCTAAACAACCCTGAATTTTCAGAAACCCAATTGGCAACCATGTTCAAGCTTGAATCATGCAAAACCAAATGAACAGGAGCTATCCCCATTGTGAACATCACTTGCCCTAAAGCCCTACCAACCTCTTCACTTCCCATCACAATTGGTCTAACCACACTCTTCTTCTCACTGAAATGGGACTGAACTGCTTCATAAGGGATCTGCCCAGTTTCAACCATGTTATCAAAAGCCCAAAACAAACCCTTCTCTTTAATCAAAGCATAAACATCCAACAAACGTTCAAAAGCACCATCCCCTCTTTCTTCCATTACTTCTCTCGATTTAGCAGAGAACCCGTTTCCAGGCAAGTCGAAAGCAATCCCATGAATCCCTTTGGAACCCAGAAAGTCGACGACTTTTCTGAAGGAAAAGGAGCTCAAACCCAACCCATGAACGATCAATACCTTTTCAGCATCAAATTTCTTACCTTTCTCGCTCTCGTAGACGAAAACTTCAACTGGCTTCTGGTTCAGAGCGAGTTGTGCCTTCACAATCCGTCCTTTGGAGTAGTGTTGCTGGAGTGAAGTGGGGAGTGAGAGGAAAAATGATTTGGGATCGGAAGAGTGGGAAAAGGACGAGAGAAAGACGGTTGATACAGTGATTACGGACACTCCTAGAGTAAAGTAGAACCAGAAAACAAATGGGCTGCTGCTGCTGCTGTTCTTAGTACTCTCTGCTCTTGAGCTGGACTGAGAATGGTTATCATCTGGCTTTGGCTTTGAGCTTTTCGCCGGCGGCGACGGTTCTGGTTCCTCAGTGATGATCGCCATTGCCAAAGCTTTGAAATGAAACGAAGATCTGCAGATGGATAGAGATCGGAACAATGAAGGGAGTGAATGGAAATGGGAAAGGATCGAAAGCTTCTTTGTGCAACTTTACAGTACAGTTCGAGAAGCAAAAGGCAGACACTTTTTGCCTTTTCCTTTCTTCACAGTCTCCGAGTTTCCAAATTCGTCCCAACCCAAAACGACGACGTTAGGTAACGGGATTACACGACTTCCGTCCTCGTCTTCTTATCTTTGGCCCTGAACTCTGAAACCTCAAACCAGTAATCAGAAAAACAAATTCAGCTTCTCAGTAGCTTAACCTTTCTCTGTTTTCCCCCCAATATGCAGTTGCTACAATCGCCAGCCATGCGGCCGCTCTACCTCTCTTATTGTTTCTCTTCTTCTCGCTACCTTGCCACCATAACCTTTTCTTCTTCTTCCAATCTTCTCCCTAAATCAATCCTCCCCACTTTCCGAACCAACCGCGGATTCAACTCCACTCCATCAATATCCCGTCTTTCGATTCGGAATTGCAGTTCCATCTCCGCTAAGCCGTCTTCCGGGCTCCGGCGGCAAAAGGGCTCCTCAGATAGCTCTGAACCAGACGACAAGAAGCTCCGAGCTCTTCGGCAGCTGTTCTCCAAACCCGGGATTGGAATCGACGCTTACGTTATCCCTTCTCAGGATGCTCACCAGGTCAGGAGAAAGATGATGTTTCCCCTTTTCCATTATCGTTCAATTTTGTTATTCAGCTGATTGAGGAATTACGGGTTTGGTCGGAACAGAGTGAATTCATTGCCGAGTGTTATATGCGGAGAGGGTTTATCTCTGGGTTCACTGGAAGTGCGGGAACTGCTGTGGTTACTAAGGACAAAGCCGCTCTTTGGACTGATGGCCGTTACTTTCTCCAGGTTTGGGGAAAAAGTGGGAAATTGTCATTTTAGTTGTGGGAAATTTTGAGATTCGATTGTTAATATTTCTTTCTTGATATGGTTTAGGCTGAGAAGCAGCTGAATTCTAGTTGGATTCTGATGCGGGCGGGGAATGTTGGAGTTCCAACAGCTAGTGAATGGTTGAATGATGTCTTGGCTCCTGGAGCCAAAGTTGCCATTGATCCTGTGAGCAATTTCGTCTCTAACTTTGATGCATTGAACTGGCTACGTTTTTTTGTTCTGTTCGATTGTTTGCTGATAGTGTTTAAACATGTGAACAGAACAGTTCCTTTTCTCTTTTGATGCTGCTGAGGAACTGAAGGATGACATAGCTAAGAAGAATCACGAGTTGGTTTACTTGTACGATGTGAACCTCGTGGATGAGATATGGAAGGATTCGAGACCAGATCCTCCAAATGCACCTATCAGGGTGCATGAACTGAAATATGCAGGCGTTGATGTAGCATCTAAGCTATCGTCCCTTAGATCTCAGCTCGCTGGAGCTGGTTGTTCGGCCATTGTTGTTTCGATGCTTGATGAAATTGCTTGGCTCCTGAACTTGGTAATCTTTTGACAGAATTGTTGGCTTTTTATTGAATCTAATCTTTCCACTATGCATTTAATATGAAGGATGCCTTTTGATTTTTTAATGCAGCGAGGCGGTGATGTTCCCCATTCGCCTGTTATGTATGCATATTTAGTGGTCACGATGGATGATTCCAAATTATTTGTTGATAGTTCTAAAGTCACTTCACAAGTCTTGATTCACTTGAAGAATGCAGGTGTCGAATTGAGACCATATGCCTCCATTCTTTCCGAGATCGAAAGGTGTGTGCTCAGCTTCTTTTCGCCATCGAATACCTATCTGATCGGGCAGTATATCTGGCGATATGCAGAAATGGAAATTCGTGTAATCCATGCATGATATATATATGAACTTGATATAATAAGTCTTACAATATTGTAATGTCTGACTTAGTTTTTCTGATTTTGATCCAGACCTTGCTTTTTTGACAACGTTTAACGAGACTTGGCTTTTTTCTTGCAGTTTGGCTTTCAAAGGTACTGAACTATGGTTGGATCCATCTTCTATTAATGCTGCCATAGTGAATACGTACAAGGCTGCTTGTGAAAAACACCTAGAAGGCCTTGGAAGCGAAGGTACCGGCAAGAGTAAAAATCGTGAAGTATCTAATTGCTCCAGTGGTCAATCTTGGGGACCATCCGGAGTTTATAGGGCATCCCCTATCTCTTTGGCAAAGGCAGTGAAAAATGCCAGCGAGTTAGAAGGCATGCGAAATGCTCACCTGAGGTGAGTTCCTTATACTCTTAATCCCTTCTTCATTCAGCTCGAGCAATATGTGAAGTTTTTTTTCTTCTTTTTCCTTAATGTTAGACTTGGCATTATTAGTTCATTATTGTTGCGCGTACTGAAGCCAATAATTTATTCAAAACATGCAGAGATGCAGCTGCCTTAGCACAGTTTTGGGCCTGGCTGGAGGATGTAATTCACGAGGGTGCAAAGCTAACCGAAGTGGACGTTTCTGATAAACTTCTCGAATTTCGAAAAAAACAGGATGGATTCATCGACACTAGCTTTGATACAATAAGTGGTACTAGATTAACCTTCAATATCTCTTAGAACTTGTTTAAGTTTCAAAATGAACAACCTCGTCTGTTTGTCCTTTTGCTTGAATGATCGGCCATAACATGAGTATTTTTTTCAGGTTCTGGTGCAAACGGTGCAATCATACACTATACACCTGAACCTGAGAATTGCAGCATTGTGGATCCGAAGAAACTCTTTCTATTAGACAGTGGAGCTCAATACATCGATGGAACAACAGACATAACAAGGACAGTGCATTTTGGTGAACCAACTGCACATGAAAAGGAATGCTTCACCAGGGTTTTACAGGTGTTGAGTTTGTTGGGTTTTCAAAACACTTATTGTACATATGTCGTTTAACTTCTCATGGGATGACTCTTTTAGAATGAAGAATTAGATTATAGTTTTCTGATTTAATTATTGATAGCAGGGCCACATAGCTCTGGATGAAGCAGTATTCCCTGGAACTACTGTTGGCTTTGTACTAGATGCATTTGCCCGTTCCTTTCTGTGGAAAATCGGCCTTGATTACCGCCACGGTACATTTCGCTCCTCTTAAACCCCCGCTCCCTGTAACGTCTTATGATTCGAAAAACCATTAATCTATCCCTCAAATCTATCAGGAACCGGGCATGGTGTGGGAGCTGCTCTGAACGTTCACGAAGGCCCTCAAAGTATCAGCTTCCGACATGGGAACACTACTCCCTTGCAGGAGGGCATGATAGTCAGCAACGAGCCTGGATACTACGAAGATCATGCTTTTGGCATCCGGATCGAGGTACATTTTCCTTTCGCTGGATCTGCACACCGATTTGTCTTAACCGCATAACATTCCTCCCTGGTGGTTTCATATCAGAATCTCCTTCATGTGAAAGAGGCAAACACTCCATACCGTTTCGGGGGAATACGCTACCTGGCTTTTGAGAAACTCACGTTCGTCCCCATTCAGGTGAAAATTATCTCCCATTATCTACAAGAACTACTTCCATTCGTTTTCTTTTTGTATCCATGGATGGGGAGAAGGAGAAGATAGAGCAAAACTTTTTCCTCTCTATTTACTGGGTTTTAACCAATCCTTATGGTCATCTTGGTTTTTCGGGGGGTGCAGAACAAGATGGTGGAAGTATCGTTACTATCTAATACAGAGATTGATTGGCTTAACGATTACCATTCACAAGTCTGGGAGAAGGTAAAAAAAGAGCCTATCTTTCAGTCTCGAGAGTCCTATCTTCGGTGAAACTGATCAAAAGCTTATGTGTATATATGCAACAGGTCTCCCCTCTAGTTGAAGGTTCTGCTTCACAATGGCTTTGGGACAACACCAGACCGCTCGTCCGGCAGTGATTGTTGTGTTCCTCCGCTTCTGATTTCCCCGTGTATAGAAGGAGAACCTTCATGCTCATCATTAGCTAGTTTTTGTTGTACTGTTCTCCACTATACACACACTATAATTTGTGTTCTTTCGAAACTACCATTTGAAATCACGTATTCTCAGAATCAGTGTATTATACATAAGATAAGAATATATCATGATTGTGAGTCATGTATTATTATTTGTCTAGGTTCAGTTTATTTATTTTCAGGAAATAAAAAATTAATCGGTAAAGTGATCTAATATCTACGTGGCGGATAGTCAAACATTTGACTTTTTGCCACATCATCAAAAATCAACCATCTCATTCAATATTTTGCCACGTCAGAGTCAACTAACGGTTGGCAAGAGGAAAAGTTGACGATTTGGTTAATAAATTATTTTTGCAAAAAGTTTGGCTATTATTCTGTTTACAATCGAAAGGTTTGACTAATAAATTGTATTTACCCTAGAAAGTAGAATACATGACTCATGATCATATATTTTGTTATTGCAAAAATATTTTGTTGTCTGGTTGATTTTACGAAGATAGAAAACAAGGTAGTGAAATATTAAATGTAAGGGCAAATTTGTAACGTTATACAAATGACTCAATTACATATTACTCATTTAAAAACTGTTGAACAAACAATATATTAGCAAATGTATACACTCATAAATATCTACTTTTTCTCAATGTCTGCATTTGAGCAAATGACTCATTTTGTAAATGACTCATGCAAACAACCCTTATTCTTAGTTTTAAACCATGTTTAACAGACGATGTTGGAATTAACCGACTCAGAGTACCACTTTGATTTAAATTACCTAGACACAACATGAAAAACAAGAGCCAAACTCCGTAAGCTCTATCTCTTCCTCATGAATTATTTTGAGTTCCGAGTTTCTATATCAAACATAATATCCTAACATTTTACAATTCCAATTTAACCCCAATTTTTAATTTTAACTAAAATCATGATTTCCACTGCATTAGCTATTATATCAATCAACTTCCAAATTTTCGAGTCTTCCTCCTGAAAAATCACAGTACTGAAAATTAGTCCCTATGTTTCTAGGCACTACACCTAATGACCCCTGTAAAATGAAAAAAAAAACAAAAATCCAAACAGTACATGAAGCTATTATCATTTTTGTATAGAACAAAAAGAGACTGGGAAGAGAAATAAGAATATGTAGTTTGGAAGTTATGATTTCAAATGTGTATTGAGCCAATTAATGTATTTGTGAGATAAAATCATTTTTTTGACTATTATTGAATTAGAATACATGCATTAACTTTTTTGAGGTTTCATCACTATCTCTCATAATTGAGGGATTATCAATATCTACTTTTGTTGAGATTTTCACAATCATTCAGAACTGACTTTTTGTGCTTTACAACAAACCACATTCTAAACTTCCAAACAAGTTTCCTAATACATCAATTGATCAAATATATCAAATGATAAACACTGATTAACTCAATACATCAATTTTCTATAAAAAAAATCACTCAATATATCAATTTGAAAAATCATAAGTCTTCTTACACTTTTCTTGACAATTCATTGATCTTCCTTCCTTTTTCAACTACTAACATCTTTCACCCAGATATTTTACATTTATGAGTAAACAAAGGAGCTTGCGAAACAGCAGGAGCGTCAATAAGCTCATCATTAAGATTTAATGATTCCTTCTGGATTCTGGATCAGAAACTAGTTACCAATTTTCCCCCCAAAATAAATAGGGTAGAAGTTACAAAAGATAGCGTAAAACACGCTACGTAATCAGACGTGACATGAGACAAATAGTCAAACTGTCGATGAAAGACCGTAATTCGCTACTAAATGGACTGACTATTAAATCGACGAGAATCGTAAAAGTATTAATCGGAATGAGCAAAAAAATATGAAATCTCACGTAATTTCCTCTAAGAGAGTGCCTCCCAAAACATGCCCGTATCGACACAAAAATTCACCACATGAAAACCGTCGAGAAACTAGCTTGTTACCACAAAGAATAATGGCACCCAATTCATTCAATTACTGCTACTGGAAAGTTTACCTTATTCAGATTGCACCAGATTTTAACCCAAAGTGGTCAGTCACAAACAAGACACTCATTACCATCCCATCGGAAAATCCAATCCTTCTTCGCTGCTCGAATTAATGTCTTCCTCACCACAAATCTGCAAACAATGAATGCCAAATTAAAACGAAGCCTCTAGGATTCTCGCAGTATCAAACAACAAGAAAATGGACGTCAAGGAATATCTGCAAACAATACAGAAGATTTAATTTAGACCAATTTCCAGATTCATCTCTACTCATTTCTGTATGAAAAATGAAAAATAAAGATGACAACAAATTAAACTGACCTTGTAGAGTGAGTAGAATGACTAAACTAATGCTGCACCGCCAGTCTCATCAAAGGCTTATATCATAAAGAATTTCGTAGGTTTACAAGTTTATTTTGTGCTATAACATAGCAATACAAATTCGCACCCCACCATATGACGTGAGGGAAGTATAACGTAGCAATACAAATTCATTTCTTGCCTATAAAAGAATTTGTACACAACGGTATATGTACAAACTAAATGTATAATTTTATAAGTTCAATTTGTAACATATCATATGTTTTTGGCGCCTCCAAAAATTGAAGTGTACAAAAATAGCCAGCATCTGGCTATATGTACCTGGGCGAGGAAATTAAGCAAGTCCAAGGATTAAATTGACATTTTGGGGGGAGAAAGAAATTATTAAAAAAATAGCGCGTATAATACACGGGGCGATAATTGGCGCCGTATTATACGGTAACATATATATATAAATATACTATTTTATGCCACGAAAGCTGGCTCGGCTAGGGCAGTCACGTCCCTATTATTCCTTTACGATTTAAGGAGTGAGACTGCGTGGAAACACAGTCCCGTGGCGTCAATTCTCTTTCTCTTTCTTCCTAATTGCGATTTTGCCAACGCTCTAAGAAATGGCAGCCGGCGGCGGCGTGTTCATTTGCTGTTGCAGGGAGCTGAGGAGCGGGTTCCCGGATCACCTGTGCGCGGGACTACGGAAAGCCGGACTGACGGCGGTGATGGGCGGCGGAGATCTGCCCAAAGGGGTGAACCTGAGGGACGCGATCCGGTGCGCGATCGAGGGTTCAACTTTCTCCGTCGTGATTCTCAGCCGCGAATTCGCTTCCTCGCAGTTCCGCCTCGACGAGCTCGTCCAAATCAAGGAGCAGCACGCCGCCGGCACCCACGCCTGCTTACCGGTCTTCTTCCATATCTCCCCCGACGACGACTGCGCCACTCTCGTCGTCGACTCCGGCTCCGGCAGCTGCTTCCACGACTACTTTAACCTATACAAAACCCAGTTCACTTACCGAAGGGTTCACGCCTGGATCCAAGCAATTGCTTGGCTTGCCGGCATCTCCGGCTGGGTCCTCACCGCCGGCCGGTCTGTTATCTAACTATCTATATATATATACTTGCCTTCAAATTTTATTTGTTCGTTCCGAAAGTATAGATCTGGTATTAGTTTCGCCTAAGCATTTAATTTACTAGCTCTGCAAAGAGTGGGAGAGAGTTGTATATGGCCACCCGAAACCCTAGCAAGTCCAACTCCTAACCAAAAACTCTTAGAAATCTGAACAATTAGGATCATCAATATGGCTAACTCGCAAACTTGGTTGCTTTCTTTAAAACGTTCACATATTACGCACAACATATTATCAATCAATTTTCTCCGTGATAAAAAGAACCACTAATTAACCTTCTCTTGTAGTGCAAAACCCCTAGATTTCTTAAGAACATGACTCGCTTTTTGTTTGAGCTAACAATTCGGGTGTTTAGAGGGTTGAAGAGGTCTAGGTTTAGGAGCTCACAAGTCGATTGAACAAACACACTAATTGTCTCTCCCGATTGGACAAACTTTATGCGCGAGCGTGTGGTTGGGAGGTCATTTAGGTCCTCCCTCTTACCCACTTGGGTAAGGACTACACCTTTTGTAGAAAAACCCTATCTATACACCTTTCACGAGACTTCATTCATCAATATAATGTGGTATTTGAGACTTCCACTAACTTTCAAAAAGCTATTCAAAATCAACAATCCCCCACTCGAATAGTTTTGAAACTTTCATTGAGCATCAACAAACAACATAAGGTCAAGTATAAACTAAGGTATAAATCATAGTGGTAACAATTCAGATTCAACAAAAAGTGACTCGTAGTCTAGAACTCTATATATGATAGCATAGCATGTCATATCTATTCAGAGTGTTACTTTTTAAAACCTCGCTGTTATGACTCTTTACATCTATCTTGGTTTAGTGAATGATCTACAAAATTTTGCCCGTAAAATTTCATAGGAAGCAACCCAATTCCACATTTAAATAGTTGAGTCTATCTGAAGTAGTACTCCTAAATCCATGTAATTCATTACACATTGATTATATATCTCATTAAGGGTTAATGTTACCTCGACCTCTTTGTGCTTCAGGAGTTCATGCTTTACTATACATGATTTATCTCATATTACAAACAACTTATTATCATCCATTAGATACATTTATTGGGGTCTCCAGTCCATGAGTCGGGTTACCATCACGTATAATTCATCATTCTATGACTATAAGCCTCGTACCCTTAAATGTATTCTTAACTTTCTCTTTAGCTAATTCTTTCGTCAAAGGATCAGTTAGATTCTCTTCAAATCTTACATGATCCACTCTCATTGCTCCTATATCTAGGAACTCTCTTACATTACTATGCTTATGACGAATCTATCATCTCTTACCATTGTAATAACAATTCTCAAACTTTAGCAATAGTTGCGTGCTATCACAATGGATCAACTTGGTGTTTCCATAAGGAAATTTGCCAAAAATCATCTTAACTAACTCGTTTTAGATCTTTTCCATAGTAGTTACCCGGATTCCAAAGATAACACTATCTTCACCTAGATCTTTCACGTCAAAATTATCACACAACATTGAAAACATGGATGTTTGAACCAAAGATCATCATCTCATTCACATACACAGATATAATAGCGTACATCGGTACATGTCATTCTCATGTTTGTAATAAATGTTGTTGTTTTCTTTTTCCTTTGAATCACTTGTCACTTTCATTCACGTTAAACCCACGAGAGAAAATCATCCTATCAAATTAGGGTTTGACATAGTAAAATTCACCAGTTGATCGATTGTTTCGCATAAAAAAAGGAGATTATGAAGGAATAAT